GGCGACTTTCGGAGCTCCAAAGGGGCGACGCCAATATAAGCTCCCATTTTCTTTGAGCGACCTCCTCCAAGATGGCCTCAAGAGGGCCTCCAGGGCTTCCAAGTGAGCCCCCAAAGAGCCCCGCGAGGCCCCCAGGAGGCCCCAAAGAGGCCCCTATTCGGCCCCCAAGACCATCAAGAGGCCTCCCAGGAAGCCCCCAAGAGACATTCCAAGAGACTCCGAGAGGCATCCAAGAGGCCTCTGGCCTTCTGCTCGCCCTCCTCCTCCTCCTTTTCCCTCTCCTCCTCCCTCCTCCTCCTCCTCCTCCTCCTCCTCCTCCTCCTCCTCCTCATCATCATCAGCAGCAGCAGCAGCAGCAGCAGCAGCAGCATGATCATCATCGTCATCATCATTATCAGCAGCATCATCATCATAATCCTCCTCATCCTCATCATCATCATCATCAGCAGCAGCAGCAGTAGTAGCAGCAGCAGCATCATCTTCATATTCATGTTAATCTTCATCATCATCGTCGTCATCATCATCAGCATCATCATCAGCATCATGATCAACATCATCATCATCATCGTCAGATGCAGCATCGTCCACTCTCCTCCTCCTCCTCCTGCTCCTCCTCCTCCTCCTCATCCTCATCCTCACCCTCATCCTCATCCTCATCCTCATCCTCATCCTCCTCTCTCTCACTCCGTCCTTCCTCCTCATGCCTCACCCTCCGCCTCATCCTCCTCCGTCCCATCTGCAGGGCGCAGGGCGCTCGCGGTCATCGGCCGTCATGAACACGTTCCTGTTCAAGAGCTCCTGCGGCGGAGGGCGCGCGCTTTTGCGGCGGGAGCCGCGGACGAGGGCCAGATCCTTTCCCCTCCGCTCCGCTCCCTCGGGCCCGCTCCTCCCCCCAGGCCCCTCCTCCCCTGCCCTCCCTCTCCCTCCCTCCTCCCCCTGTCCTCCTCCCGGGCGCCCCACCCCCTGTCCTCCTCCCCATCCCCTCGTCCCCTGCCCTCCCTCTCCCTCCCTCCCTCCCTCCTGCCTCCCCCGCTCCGAAGGAGGAACGACAGGAGGGAACCAGCTCCGGGAGGGAAACATCGACCTGGAATCGGCGATACATCGCCGAGAGGTCGGCGATAGGCCCCCGATATCGAATGCGCTCGTTCCTGGGCGGGGAGGGCTATAAGGCCCTAAGAGGCGACCAGCGGGCGACTGGGGGTCGATACGTCCCCCCTGAACCTACCCACCCCTGGCGCTGCCCCTCCCTCCAAAGCGTCCGGCTGCTCCAATTTTTTCGATGCGTGGGCCCCGGAGGTCTGGACCACTTCCCTGGGGCCGGTTTTCGTCCTGAGATGTTGTTTGACCGAAAACTGCCAAAAACCCGCCGCCCTAATTTCTTGAAGCGTCGGATCTCTGGGTCCCTCACTCCACCCTCTCTTCCCCCTTACGTCTTGCCCTCCCGGGTTCCCGCCCTCCTCCCGACCCTCCCCCAGCGACGCCCTGTAAGGAACAGCAGGGAGTGAGGGAGTGAGGGAGGAGGGAGGGATGGAGGGAGGGAAGGCGGCAGGAGGGGGAGGAGGAGGAGGAGGAGGGAGGAGGAGGAGGAGGAGGAGGAGGAGGAGGAGGAGGAGGAGGAAGGAGGGAGGAGGAAGAGGAGGAGGAGGAGGAGGAGGGAGGAGGAGGAAGGAACGAGGAGGAAGGAGGAGGAAGAGGAGGAAGAAGAAGGACCTTGGAAGGAGGGATGAAAGGAGGTAGGGGGAGGGAGGAGGGAGGAAGGGCGGAAGGAGGACGGAACGAGGGAGGACTTGTCGATTGCGACGCGGATGACGCCGATAGCCTGTCGGCAGAGCGCGGCTCTGCAACTGACGAAATAATTCCAGCGCGGACACCAAATAGGCAAGCACAATGAAAGATAATGCTACCGGAATTCCCCACATAAGGATGTCACTGTGGGGCCTGTGGGCATCGTGGTGGGGCCTCTGTGGGCGCGCTCGGGGCCTCAGGGGACTGCGCCAGGGGCCTCAGTGTGCAGTGTGGCGGGGCCTCTGTGCGCGCGCTCGGGGCCTCTGTTGACAACGTATGGGGCCTGAGCGGGCAGCGTGGTGGCGCTTGTGTTCGTGCACTCGGGGCCTCTGTGGGCTGTGTCAAGCGCCTCAATGGCAGGAGCGGGAAAAAGCACGAAACCGTTTAAATAGTATTGGGTTTCCATACCTTCCTCGCTCAGGCGGGGCCTCCTTGGAGGAACGGGAGGAGCACGAAACCGTGCAAATAGCACGGTGCTTCGATGCCCTGTTCGCTCTGGCGGAGACTCCATGGATGGGGGGGTGGGAGGAGCGCGACACCTTGTGAATAGTACTGCGTTCCAAAGACCCTCCTCGCTCGGGCGGGCGGGCACGAAAACGTCTGAATACTGGGCTGGGAGGGGCGCGAAACCGTGTAAATAGTAATGTGTTCCGAAATCCTCCTCGCTCTGGCGGGACCTCCGTGGAGGCGTGGGAGGGGCGCGAACCCGTGGAAATTGTAGTTGCTGTTGACTTGTAGTCGCAGGTAGTCGTAGGCTGCATTACTGATAATAGCAATAGTAGTTGAAGTATTAGTAGTAGTAGCAGTAGTAGTAGTAGTAGTAGAAGAAGGAGTAGTAGTAGTATTAGTAGTAATAGTAGTAGTAATTCTAGTCGTAATAGTAATAGAAATAGTAATAGTAATAGTAATAGTAATAGTAATAGTAATAGTAATAGTAATAGTAATAGTAATAGTAATAGTAATAGTAATAGTAATAGTAATAGTAATAGTAATAGAAATAGAAATAGAAATAGTAATAGTAATATAATAGTAATAGAAATAGTAAATAGTAATATAATATTCATAGTTAATAGTAATAGTAATAGTA